GGAGGTTGTTGGTTGCCTGGAAAATCAATAAAGGCTTAATTAAAAAATCGGCACCGGTCAGTCGATGTAGTTAGGTGTCTAGTTTAAAATAAAACAAACCCGAACTCTCCAGCTTGAAGTATATTAACAAATCTTGGGACGCCGTTCAGGATCCTTTTTTGGACCTTGATCTCTGGAAAACTCGTAAACCGTAAGACTGGGAGACAAAAAAATGTTTTCATTCCCGTAACTCATTGTGCCGAACATTTATGGAAAGTTTCGTCAAGATCGGATGCACGGTGTCGGAGATAATTTCTCAGGGGGGGGGGCCCTTAAGCTTTTTCTTGAACCAGAATGGAAGCAGAGATGTATGATTCTCATTATATCATTCAGTTCTTAAGGGGGACCTTCGTTAGAAATGATGATTTTCTATAAAGTCGCGTGGTTAACGATGGACAATATAAGCGATGAACGCTGTTGATCTATGGATTTGTGGAGGTCGGAGCCAGTATTTCTAGTGTTAGGACATCCACGCCCCATTTGTTTTCAGTATTATATATATCATTTCGTAGCCCGTGAACTTCTCTATCGAACCATGTACAGTAGTTGCGGTTTGCTTTGGGCAAAGTGAAGAAATGGGGAAAATACTCTAAATAAAGTTCATTTAAGGGGAGAAAAGTTTGGATGCGGAATTTTTTCCAGGGGAGGTGAAAATGGTTTTATTGAGGTGCTAGTTTTAATCACGGAGAAAAACTACATCAGACTTGTGAATGTGAGCTTGATCTGAGGGGGGACCGATTTTGCCTCTTATCGACCGCCGTCCTTTCTCTCGAAGTCTGCTTTCCGAGCATCTTAAAACTTTTTAATATAGTAAATATTAATATATGGAGTTTTGCAAAGACCTACTCTACACCGTTCACACATTACAGTGATCTCCTTCTTCTTCTTGTGTCGCGCACACACACGGCACTTCCTTTTTGGATTGGTCTTCTTTTTATCTGGTGGAACACGCACTATTTTATGCGATTTAAATCCTCCCATGAGACGAGAATCTGGATCTATAACACGAGGAACTTCAGGTCATTTTTGGCCCGTGCATCCCCTATTTCGTATAGAAGGAAGCATCCGGGGAATTCTGAATCTATGACAACTTTTGCTCTGCTAGTCGAGATCTATCTACCCTGGAAGTTTCCAAATTTTTGGTCGAGCCGTTCTTGAGAAACCCGAGAAAAAATCTTCACGTCTGGAAAGGAGAGAAGTGCCCTTAAAAGCTGGCGTTCTGGCGGACATTCTGAATGAATGATCCATAAAGCATTGCATAACAATTCATCGTCATTTACAAGCCTCATTTATACACATTCAAACGATTTAAAATATCGTTATTATAAAGGGCAGTCTTACTGTGGTGCTGTATCAAATGAAAATGATGTGAATATTTACCGATGGGCACAAAAAAACAATCAACATCGTCTTATCGCAATTCGAACATTTACTTCAACATCTCGCAAAAAAGAAGTTGCCGAAAAGTTTCGTCAATTACCAGAAAACTCAGATAAACTAAGTGTTCTGCTCGAATTTAGTTTTCCAGTAGAATGTAACACAGCAATTAACTTAAATGCGATTATTGATAAACAATTACCGTGTTTATCTTATTTCCAAAATGAAGAAGAAATTCTGTTATTACCATTTACATTATTTAAAGTGAATACCATCATACAAGACAAATACACTAAAAGATACACGATAGCGCTTATGAACGTAGAAATACCAAATATTTAAAAAAGCGATATTCATTATGCTAATTTTACTTTTTGCTGTAGTCGCAAGCATAATTGTTCCTTCTGATGATGTTAAACATAATTGAGAGTGTCCTTCCAAGTATCATACAACATACCAGAGGCTATGTTCCCTTATAATGTC